AATATATTGTTTGGTTCGTAGAAATTATGTACATCAGTTGACTTGATCAGAGATCAGACGTCAATAGATTGATTCTTAGCATGCTTCTATTCAAGTATATTGTTCAGTTCGTAGAAATTATGTACATCAATTGACTTGATTGAAGATCAAATGTCAAAAGATTGATTTTTACTACGCTTCTGTTCGAATATATTATTCAGTTCGTAGGAATTCTATACATCGGTTGACTTGATCGAGAGTCAGATGTCAAAAGATGGATTCTTACTATGCTTCTGTTCAAACACATTACTTACGACGCACAAATGATTTACGCATAGAAGAGTAATCGATGATGATGTAACAAGTGATTCTTTCCAACAATGATTCTAACTCAATATCCTGGTCGCTTTAAAGAAAACATTAACAGCTAGTTACGTAATCGAAGAACGCGTGCTGTATGAATTACACAAACAAGAGTTGTGTTCAAGTTAGTCTGTTTATCTTCAAAGTAAGATTTATAAAGAGTAACACGATGGAGGACTGTTTAGCAAATGAATAACTCTCGTAGTAAGGCTCTCTTTGAGTATACTCGATACGTCCATGCAATTACATGCGATAGCAATAGTACTAATGAATACGTGACAGATGAATAGATTGTAGAGTTCTGTTCAAAAATACTCCTCATTTCAAGATAATGATTAGTTGTTGCTCGTGTTATTGATATACATGGGACAATTGAGCGCTAATTAGCAATTTTAAGTTTGCGTATATTTGATACTTTGAAAGAAAGATTACAATTGATAATGTGATCAGAGACTACACAGCAATTGATTCGGTCTAACTAGAGTTTATTCACATATACTGCTTGAAGCAACCTAATATTTTCCGGATGACGTTGTTTCCAAAAATTAACTCATATTCGAAGGGTTATAGCATAAATTCTGGTGTTTACTTATTATGCTAATTTCAAAAGATAACTATGCATGCGTTTTCTATTCTAGAATGAACTTTAAAAATGAATAGTTGATGTTGGGGCTAAAATTTAAAAGAGAGCATTAATAGATAAATATTACAAAGACGACAATGCTAAAAAGCAATCATGACTGGTCGTGAGTCTGAAATGCATTTCACAAATGCGTGAAAGAAAAGAAACAATGTTGTCATTCTGGAATTTTGATTGTGAACTGATACAATTATACTGTACTTCTTGATCTAGATGAATATGTAATAATAGTCTCTACGAATTGAAATCATTTTGAGACTTGATCGAAAGAGAACTACGTGCCATCAACTTAAGAGTGAAACAACTAGATCTTAAGAATCAAAGTCAGATGAGATTATTCGATAACATTTGCCCTTATCTATGCTAGTCTAGAATAACAGGAATTTGACTGAAATGAAGAAAATTAAGAGAAACTAGTCAGCATTCACTGATTTAGACACCCCAAAAATACTTATGGCTTAGCCTTTCATAGCAAAAAAAGTTTTTCCGCATTACGAAAAACGCTTTGATGCAGTACTCGCAGGAATGTCTTAATCAATATGATAATCATTTGTAACAATTATTTAAGTGTCCTACACTGTTATTTTACACTGGTTTGAATCTTTTCTAGTAATAATCATAGTAGTTTATCAAGTGAGATCATAAGAGAAGCACAAAAATAGTGTTTTTGGAGACGAATATAAAAATTCTTCTAGGTTTAAGGCGCGACGCTATGTGGTCTGTTGCAGATAGCGATAATCTGACACACGTGTATCAATCTTGTATCCAATGTGGTCCAAAAGTCACGATACTGAAACAAAATTGAATATTTTGACTGTAACTCAACAAAATAGGCTTATTATTCTGGTTAATGAAAAGAACTTTATTTAAAATTTGTTTTCATATGGATAGTATAACCAAATACTTTTACTAAGTATTATTCTTAGCTTTAATGAAAGAATTCCACCTGTCGACAAATAAGAAAAGTCTATGTAAAGCGCTCTATAGATTATTTTTAGTTATCACGAAAGAGAAAGACAAGAAGAAATTCGAAGAATCATAAAAAATGATAGAATATTGATGGAAATAGCATAAATTTGCAGGATTAACTAGTTAAAAAGATTGATGTTTGTAACGTGCAACTGAAACTCTTTGAGTACTAAACCACCAACTTTTACTAAAAAATCGGTATTTTACACTCGAAAGTTTGAAATATTGTAACTGTTTACTTTCAAGTTAGTATTCTGGAGGTTTCAGCCAAAAAGAATATTTCGTTCTCGAGGTGCTGACTGTTCATAAAATCAGGATACTCTGACGACTATCGCGCTTATATATGGGCAAACTCGCAGGTGGAAACTCTAGTTTTAATTTTTCGGTGAATATTTACGAATCGATCGCACATTCAGTGATTTGGTTCATACTATTTGGATCAAATATTATGGAACGAAACTCTTCTAAGGTTTCTTTATAAAAGTACACTGAAAAATAGAGAGTGATCAGTAAATAAAAAGAGACAGAAAGAAGAGTAGCTGAAGTTAAGATAAAGTTGTCAAGAACAACTCGATCTAACAGAAAATTATGAAGGTCAACATAAACAGTAAGATTATATATAAGGTAGGACTCTACGAGCGATGTAGGATCATATAGTATAGAGCATCGATCAAATATTAAAAATGGAGTATTATAAAAATGTACGTATGACGAAACGAACACAAAATAATATGGAGCGCATAACGAGAATAAAAGATATGAAATGTATTCAATCACATGTATTAAAGTCGTGCGTAAGATAGCTATATTCTGGTTAGAAGTGTTAGTGTTGATAACTACGTCGTACTTATTTGTTCACTTGCAAAAGGATATGTATACAGTTAGGTGAATCGATATGTTGAACCATCATTATTCTTCCACATGATCATTTTCAAAATATTTAGAAGAAGAGAGTCAAAAGCGGAA